ACTTCTATAGCCGAAAGAACTCTGTACAACTCACCAGCTCTTACCTTTTGAATTGTCTCAACATTTTTGCTTGTGTGACCACATATGATTGGACCAGCCATTCTCAACCGGGGTTCCGTGGAAGCCTAGGTTTCCTCCAGATGTTGCTAGAAGTTCCTTGAACTGTGGATGATTGACCTCCCATTTGGTGGTGCCTGCGTAGTTTCAGGGCCAACCACATGGCAAAGTCAGTAGCATGATAACAATTTTTTAGCGGTCTATAAGGGTGGTATTTTGACCACCACTGTAAAGCCTAATGGACTCTGGACACTTTGGACATCACTCTGAGGCACCTTTCCTCCTGGCAGCAGCGTTTTGGCAGAATAAACTATTGACACTTGCAAATGCATGTAATGTGTTTAGGCACGTCTAGCGCTTGGGCGGTAATTCATTTATTGTCCAGAAAAAGTATTTATTTTGGCCATTTAAATTAATGTATGCTGAATTACTAAACACGTCTTTAGAATTTATTTGCAGTGTTGGAAGGAACAGTATCAATGGTTATGACAGCATATACAGTTTTCGAGAAACCATCGTCTGATAAGCATAAGAGCGGTTGACATGGTCAACTGAGCAAAAGAAAAAAAAGGACATTGGGCAGGATTGTTACCCAGAATAATAAAACAACTGCTGCAAAAGTGACTGTAGAGCTCAGTCTCAGTCTTCCAAAACCCGTGTCCACAAAAACTATATGGAGGGAACTCCATAAGCAAAACATTAGTAACCGATATTAATATTAAGAGTGAGTGGTGCAATACCCATAAATCGTGGACTATCAATCAATGGAGGACTGTAATATGGTCTGATGAATCGAGCTTCACACTAGACCCAACCACCGGACGTGTTTATGTGTGGCAAACACTGTCCCAAGCTTACGACCAGGACTGTCTTGTGCCAACAGTAAAGCATGGTGGCAGTACAATCATAGTTTGGGCAGCCATATCTTGGTATTCTGCAGGTCCTATCATCACCTTGAAAGGTAGAGTCACTGCCAGCAAATATGTACAACAAATATGATAATGCTTCGATATCCATAGCTGGTGTTGTCAAATCATGGTTTTATAAGTATACAGATGAAGGCTCACACATTCCATGGGCTCCGCAGTCATCAGACATCAATATCATAGAGCCACTACTGTATAGTTAATTTTGGAGAACAAGGTTTGGGGTAATTTTCCGCCTCCGACATCTCTACAAGAACTAGTATGATTTTTGCATGAAGAGTGGTATCAGATTCCGTTATTCAACATCCAAGATTTACACTCAGCGGCCATCTTATTACGTTAATGTATCTGTTAAGGTCATCTTTAAGGTGTGTGCCTAAGGGGCCTTCATTTATTGAAAATGTTTTATTATCTTTTTTTAGTATGTTGCATTTATATTGTAAATGTAATGGTACTGAGAATACTTCTTATGCTGGGGTATATCTCTTATCTGTACCTTGAAATTTTTAAGGAACTCTTTATCATTAATGACATTGTGATCTAATTTTTATTTTGATGTGACTCTCAAGGGTTTGGCATGTTATATATGGATTATTTAATGACATGTTGTTGTTCATAAATTCAGCCACAAGACAGGGTTTGCTATTTTTCAGTTTCATGTTATAGCAATCAATTGTCAACTTTATATAATTTATTTATAATTTATTCACAATTTAATTGAAAAAAGAATTCTAGGCGGTTAAGTCATTTTAAATATGGCCGAAATATGCCAGACGTATGTGTGGACTTTGCTAGTCAATGTCTGTAGACATTTTTCAGGCTGTGGCTGTTTTCATGTGCACATCATTTCTGGTACGTTCTGCTTTAAATGTGAAGTGCTGATGTTGCACACTGACCCCCAATCCCAGAGGATGCCAATTGCGGGGAAACGTGCCGGGTGGAGTGTGACGTCATCACATACCGGCTTGACGGCTGACACTGCAGCCAGTTTGTTTGTATATGCAAAGCTTTTCAGGCCCGCATGTTTGTAAGTGCAATACTTTTAGAAAAATAAAAACATTTTTAAGATTTATTGCACTATGAGGCTTCTCCCTATTTACACCTTACACACACTCTATTGCCAAAAGTATTGGGACACCCCTCCAAATCATTAGATTCAGGTGTTCCAATCACCTCCATGGCCACAGATGTATAAAATCAAGCACCTAGGCATGCAGACTACTTCTACAAACATCTGTGAAAGAATGGGTCGCTCTCAGGAGCTCAGTGAATTCAAGCGTGGTACCGTGATAGGTTGTCACCTGTGCAATAAGTCCATCCGTAAAATTTCCTTGCTACTAAATATTCCACGGTCAACTGTTAGTGGTACTATAACAAAGTCAAAGCAACTGGGAACAAAAGCAACTCAGCCATGAAGTGGTAGGCCATGTACAATGACAGAGCGGGGTCAGCGCATGCTGTAGTGCACAGTAGTCGCCGACTGTCTGCAGAGGCAATAGCTAAAGACCTCCAAGCTTCGTGTGGCCTTCAGATTAGCACAACAGTGCATAGAAAGCTTCACGGAATGATTTCCATGGCTGAGCAGCTGCATCCAAGCCTTACATCACCAAGTGCAATGCAAAGCATCAGATGCAGTTTGGTGAAGGGGGGATTATGGTGTGGGGATGTTTTTCAGGGGTTGGGCTTGGCCCCTTAGTTCCAGTGAAAGGAACTCTTAAGGTGTCAGCATACCAAGACATTTTGGACAATTTCATGCTCCTAACGTTCTGGGAACAGTTTGGGGATGGCCCCTTTCTGTTCCAACATGACTGCGCACCAGTGCACAAAGCAAGGTCCATAAAGACATGGATGAGCGAGTTTGGGGTGGAGGAACTTGACTGGCCTGCGCAGAGTCCTGACCTCAACCCAACAAAACACCTTTGGAATGATATAGAGTGGAGACTGTGAGCCAGGCCTTCTCGTCCGACATCAGTGCCTGACCTCACAAATGTGCTTCTGTAAGAATGGTCAAACATTCCCATAGACACACTCCTAAACCTTGTGGACAGCCTTCCCAGAAGAGTTGAAGCTGTTATAGCTGCAAAGGGTGAGCCAACTCAATACTGAACCCCTCGGACTAAGACTGGGATACCATTACAGTTTATGTTCGTGTCTGGCAATATAGTGTATGCCTGCCTATTGAGTAGTTCTACAGGTGAGATAGCACTACTGAAGAGGATGCTATTGATAGTTCTGTTCCTTGAGTGTGTGCTTTGAGCGCTGTTTGATCCCTATCATCTGAGATCATTCCCATCCCATAAGAGGCCATCTCTTTTCCTCTGAGGAGCACATTTTGAGCACTGGAGCACTTTTTAGAAGTGGAAGCTTATCAGCACTGAGCACTTTCTTTTCCATGTGGATCATATGAACTTTTTGAGTTGATTGTAAAGACTGAAAATGTTATAATTTATATGTTTCTGTTAATTTATATCATCACTTCCATTAGTGTTTGGTGATTTGCATATGTTTCAATAAATTGTAAAGGGACAGCCCACTTTTTGAGTATTTACTTTATTAGGTACTTTGCTAGTGCCAAGAAAATATCCCCCACATCATTACACCACCAACAACAACCTGAATTGTTGATATAAGGCAGGGTGGATCAGCACTTTCATGTTGCTTATGCCAAATTCTGACTCCACATCAGCAAGGCATTTTTGTCCACACAATTGGCACTCACTGGAGAATTGGACAATTCTCTGTAAACTCTAGAGATGGTTGTGCGTGAAAATCCCAGTAGCTCAGCAGTTTTTGAAACACTCAGACCAGCCTGTCTGGCACCAACAACCATGCCATGTTCAAAGTTACTTAAATCCCCTTTCTTTCCCATTCTGATGCTCGGTTTGAACTTCAGCAAGTCGTCTCACCACATCTAGATGCCTAAATGCATTGAGTTGCTGCCATGTGATTGGCTGATTAGCAATTTGTGTTACCAAGCAATTGAACAGGTGTACCTAATAAAGTTGCCAGTGAGTGTATATCTGTCAATTCCCAGGTGAATTCAGGCCGTCTTGGATACCAAAGGCAGTCCAACACCATATTAGGTAACGATTTCATCATCTTACCTGGTGTTTTCATAATTTTGTCCAACCCCTGTAAATCTGTTATGGGAAAATAAAATGACAACTGTAGGCTCCAGGAGATCAGTACACACCAAACTAATACAACACTTTCTTCTGAATCACTCTGAGAGCCCCTGAAATGGACATGAAAAGAGTAATATGCCATCATTGAAAGGCAGGCATTGCCCAATCTCCCTCAAATGATATTGCCATGTGACTGGCAAAATAAAATCTCTGCACATCCTGTTTACCAGCAGTAGAGCTGTAGATATACCAAGTCTAATCCAAGTTTTCTAAAAAAAAAAAAAAAAACTAGCACTTTCCTTGCTATATTGGATTAGATGCCATGGGCCATTTTCAAACCAGTGAATATGAACACCTTGATTTTTCAAGGTCCTCTCAATACAAGCACATCCATCTGCACTCAGGATAAGTAAATACCAATACACACGCAACTCGCCTAGATTCAGTCTATGCTTCAGACTATGCTAGTCCTTCATAAACAAACACAACTTCCATTTAAATATTAATTTAATCATTTTTGAGGCATGAAAAAATAATTCTCTTTAAATTAGGAATCTCTGGTTTCTCTCACCGTGAGGTTAAACAGTTTTTTTTTTCTTTCCAAAAAAGTTGTTTCCTTCATGTTCAGTCCCTGTGTCGGTATATTGAGCTGTATTATCTGACATCCAGAGGAATCCTGTGATACAGTTTTCTAGACTACCGTTACCCTTCCACATCTGGTAACTGGTATTCTTCACTGCAGTTCCACAGTTTGAACTCCGGAGGGCTGTCAAGCATCGCTTTTCACTAAAGCATGCAGTTCCCATATAAGCCCACTAGATGTCAAACAACCTCTTAAGTGCAGCTGATCATGCAGAAATGAGAATATAAAGGGATCCTGTCATTCCCCTTGCTACCTCTCCCAGAGGAAAGCACTGTTTGAAAGCAGCTGTGCTAATTTTTGGTTATAGGGTCTATAGTAGTCTATAAGAAGCTGTCTGGTAATGGGGAGCATGGGTCCCAGGCTACAGTCCTCCGGGCGGCGGCTGTTCGATGCTTGTTTCTGGCTTATCGAAGCCTCCTGTTCATTATTCAAAGGTCCTGCAAAGAAAAATTAAGAAGATTACAAAAGAATATTAAGAAAAATCCTATCAGCCAGAAGAATTAAAATGAATATATGTGTTCAGATATAGTGAAAGTGATTGTACACGCTCACCATGTAAAACAACCCATTTAGCTTAAAATAGAAATGAAAGGCAAAACATTTGTGCAAACATTAAAAAAAATATAATTTTTTTTTCTCCTTTTTTCTATCAGGGATCACATACCCTCTGTTCTCAGCTGCATAAGAGGTAGGAAAGGAGAAACAGCAGTACAATAGCCTTCCCAGTGAATGGAGTGGGGTGTCAACAGAAACCTGATCATTGGAGGAGAGCAGGCTGACTTCCCAGCACAGCTAGAAAACTGACCTTACTGCACTGTCATGCCTAGTGTGGTCTGTATTAAATAGGAAACCAGAGTGACTGGCAGGAACACCAGGGATTTCACAGAAAGGAAGCAATACACAGAGAACAGGATACTTTTTCATACAAGTACATGGTACAGCATGTGCAGGTATCATCAATGAATTTCAGGTACATCTACACATATCTTAGATTTGGATTGAGTAAGGTTACAAAATGTATTCATTTTTTTTACATTGTGGAGATTTTCCTTCACTTCCTGTTATGGAGACACCATTACATTCATATCCCAGGGTCACTATGAAAAAACAGAGTGACAACATAGACAGCAACACAAACCTGGAAGAGCAGATGGGTGACGCTGGGTCTCCAAAGCAGTTTATGTTTCTAGTTGGACACAAGACATGCATTTTTTGCATATTTTGCTGAATCAGATTAAAGCCGGTCTAGGCAGCATTCACCCTAGCCCAAAATTGCTCAATAAAATGCATGCTATTAATGGCGCCCAAACATGAAAAGCAGACATGCCTCATAAATGAAGCCTATTATCTTCTCGGGCCCTTTCACACTGGTGCACGTTTGACACACACACACACACACTGGCAAAAATGCATCATTATCATTCCCCTTTAAATCCTATGTAACTTTTTACATCGCTGAGCTGTGTTTTGAAAAGTCCTGCATGCTGCATCTTTTGTACACTTTTGAAAAACGCACAAAACAGTTTAAGTCAATGAAAACATAACAAAAACGTACCGAGGGAGTGGTTTTTAGTGCATTTTTGGAGTCACATGACAATTTGTTTTAAAAAAGACGCTGGTTGTTAGAGAGCCGACACCTGTTGGTGTAGACATATAGACAAAAAAGGATTATTTTTTAAGATCCACAGTATCTCCCTCTAGACTGTGTTCTTTGATGTCTCGCGCTTTGCCTCTAACCCCCGAGGACACTGGTTATGGTTATTATTATTATTATTATATAGGATTTATATAGCGCCAACAGTTTGCTCAGCTCTTTGCAATATAACAGGAGACAATACAGCAACAATACAATTCAATACAAGAGGGTTAGGAGGGCCCTGCTCCTTGGAGCTTACAATCTAAGAGGGAGGGGCTGGTGGTACAAAAGGTAATAACTGTGTGGGATGGACTGGTAGGAGGAATAGAAGATTCCATAATTAGCTGAAGGCAGGATGGGCTTCCCTGAAGAGATAGGTTTTCAGAGATCGCCTAAAAGTGAGCAGAGCAGGCGATAGTCTGATAGATTGGGGTAGAAAGTTCCAGAGGATGGGGGAAGCTCTGGAGAAGTCCTGGAGACAAGCATGGGAGGAGGAGACAAGGGAGCTAGAGAGCAGGAGGTCATGCAAGGAGCAGAGAGTACAGTTGGGTGATATTTGGAGACAAGATCGGTGATGTAATTTGGGGCAGAGTTATAAATGGCTTTATATGTTATTATTAATGATTTTTGAATTGTATCAGTTGGGCAATGGGAAGCCAGTGTAGGGATTGGCAGACATGGGTGGCAGATACGGAACGGTTAGTAAGGTGGATGAGTCTGGCAGCAGCATTCATGATAGACTGAAGAGGGGATAGCCTGCGATGAGGTAGGCCAATGAGGAGGGAGTTCCAATAGTCAAGGCGAGAGATAACAAGGTAGTGAATAAGTTGCTTAGTGGTTTCCGAGGTTAAGAATGGGTGTATCTTTGAGATGTTGCGGAGGTGAAGTCTACAAGATTTGGACAGTGATTGGATTTGGGGCTGAAAGGACAGATGGGAGTCTAGGATTACACCTAGTACCCTGGCATGAGGGGAGGGACTGATGGTTATGCGTTAGATGGGGCGCAGCACGTGACGTCATCATGCACGGCAGCCGAGGACCTAGCAGCGTGTTTTACTGCTATATCAACATTCTACAGCATCTTGTAAGTGCTTTTATTTTTATTTAAAAGAAGCGGCTTTAAAAGGTTACTGCACTACGGCATCGCCCTCTTTGTCCTAAATGCTTTTGTGGGGTGCAACCCGCTTATACGGCGGAGGAGCATTAACTTAAATTTGTGGCTGGAGCTGCGGGGCAGCAAGGCGAATGATGATCTCTTTGTAGGATCTGAACTCACGGTAAGGTGCCTGGCAACCCTTTGATTGGAGTGATCTGTTGGCACCTTTTCCCCTATGGCACAGCTTCCATTTGCTCACTCTGGAGATTGGTCACCTGTTGGGATTCTTTTATTCATCTGAACTTCTATTTATTCTGACTTTTTTTTTATGCATTTCACTGAATTCATCTATTGCACTTTTTTTATATCATATATCTTATGAAGTGCACTTTTTTATGTCTTTTACTGCACAGTATTTAGTAGTACAATATTTTCACAAAACGCGTCAGCCCTGCTCTTTCCCCCCACTGTATGCTGTACCGCCTATTAATAAAGAGGATCTAGTCTGGCGTGCCATTGTTCGGGATTTTTCTCTTACCCCCTCACTCCTATTTTCATTATTTAATTAAATTATTTCACTTTTTTTTACTGTGTTACACTTTGCGCTGGATTAGTGATTTTGGTAAAAAGAAAATAACATCAGCTAACATCTAAACCCCGAATGCCTGTCTGATGGAAAGGATTCCTCCATTGCTGGGTTTTCATTAGCTGTTGCTATAGCAATGAAGAAGGAAGTCAGTCCGATGAAGATAACACAGGCTCACCGCATGGCGCTAATAATGAACTCCTCAGTAGATTTCCATCTGGACAGATCATCAATACCTTTCAGTCTATATGTAGTACAGGTCATTTGGAATCAAATATGTAAACTGTCTTCCACAGTCTTCCTATTTCCATAGCAACCAGATCCTTCCTTATAGTTCTCAGGTTGCACCTAGATAATTGCAATGGGGAATTGGTTGTTAGGGGCAACAAGATTGTCTTTAGATTTAAAAAGCAAACAGTAATGTCAGCATTTATCAAAAATAACCGCATAGCAATCCATCCGGAGAAAGTTCTTGTCAATTCATTCTGTGAGTATGGGGCAAAAAACAGATGTTATTAGGCTATTTCCTGTGCTGGTCAAATCATTTTCAGTCATTTGGGGCCGTTCACACCACGTGCAGTCCAAATGCATGGATAGTAAGTTATATGGTTTCCAATGGCATAGGTCACACCAATGCTGTCATTTCCAGTGCATTCCAGTTCCGGAAAAAAAAAGTAGAACATGCTGAATTTTTTCTGAACTGAACTGTACTGGAATGCAGTAAAACGCATCAAAAATGCACCGGAATACATATGTCTTTATCAAGGTGAGGAAAAAAAGGAGGGGGGAAAATGCACATGCAGAAATATCTCTGGAACACATCCGGACTGTGTTTCCATGGTGTGAACCTTGGAAGTCAGAAGGACGAAAAACATCAGTGTGTGATTATATGGCAATAGTAAGTGATGCAGGGCTGGGTCTAGGGAGGTGCTGGGGTGGGCTGTGCCCCCCCCCCCCCCAGATTTTAGTCATGCCCACCCAGGTGGGTCAATATTGATGGGGACAGTCCATGTAAAGGGGCACTGTGATAGGGACACCTGATGTAAGGGGGCACTATGATGGAGATAACTGATCAAGTGTAAGGGGCACTCAGATGGCGACAACTGATGTAAAGGGGAACTCTGTTGGAGACTCTGAAGTAAGGAGGCACTCTGATGAGGACCCTGATGTAATCAGGTACTCTGATGGGGAACCTGATGTAAGGAGGTACTCTGATGGGGAACCTGATGTAAGGAGGCACTCTGATGAGGACCCTGATGTAAGAAGGCACTCTGATGGGGACCCTGATGTAAGGAGGCATTCTGAAGGGGGCCCTGATGTAAGGGGGGACTCAGATGAGGACCCTGATGTAAGGAGGCATTCTGAAGGGGGCCCTGATGTAAGGAGGCACTCTGATGGGGACCCTGATGTAAGGAGGCATTCTGATGGGAACCCTGATGTAAGGGGGGACTCTGATGAGGACCCTGATGTAAGCAGGCACTCTGATGAGGACCCTGATGTAAGGAGGCACTCTGATGAGGACCCTGATGTAAGGAGGCACTCTGATGGGGACCCTGATGTAATGGGGGACTCTGATGAGGACCCTGATGTAAGGAGGCACTCTGATGGTGACCCTGATGTAATGAGGCATTCTGATGAGGACCCTGATGTAAGGGGGCACTTTCATGAGGACCCTGATGTAAGGGGGGGACTCTGATGGGGACCCTGATGTAAGGGGGCACTCTGATGGGGACCCTGATATAAGGGGGCACTCTGATGGGGAACCTGATATAAGGGGGCACTCTGATGGGGACCCTGATATAAGGGGGCACTCTGATGGGGACCCTGATATAAGGGGGCACTCTGATGGGGACCCTGATATAAGGGGGCACTCTGATGAGGACCCTGATATAAGGGGGCACTCTGATGGGGACCCTGATATAAGGGGGCACTCTGATGGGAACCCTGATATAAGGGGGCACTCTGATGGGGAACCTGATATAAGGGGGCACTCTGATGGGGACCCTGATATAAGGGGGGCACTCTGATGGGGAACCTGACATAAGGGGGCACTCTGATGGGGACGCTGATATAAGGGGGCACTCTGATGAGGACCCTGATATAAGGGGGCACTCTGATGGGGACATCTGATATAAGGAGGCACAGGTTCTGTTTAATCACCCTAATCTAATGACAGCCTAACACATACAAGGTCGTGACACTGTATAACAGTCTGTCAGTGACTCACACACAGTGTTGTCATTATGCCCCCTGACTTTTTTCTTGCACCCCCAGATCTAATAGGCTAGATCCGGCCCTGAAGTGACATCAGAGCAAAGACTGAATGTGACACGAATCCTGGTGATGTGGTCAGGCGCAGTATGTCACTGTTACTTTGGCCGGAACGTAACTCTGAATTTGATGAGCTATAAGCTGTTTCATCGCTGTGAGTGTATTTTTAGCTTTTTAATGAATTTGTTAATGCTGGATCCCACTGTGAGGAGCGTTTTGTGTCCTCTGTGCTTGAGTTTCCAGTGGAATTGAAGACCAGTTTAACGGGGACTGCTGACCAGTGCTGGATCCTCTGCTACCATAAAGTGTTTGAGTGCATTGAGCCGACCAGTAATGAGAGGCAATAATTAGCGGTGAGAGCGATGGCAAGAGGGAAGTGTGTTTCACCTAAAGCACAATGGTGGTGTGAACCTCTCAAGGGATCCAGAAGCTAAAGTTTATGGCCTATTAATGAAGGACATTTTCATTGCCTATTTATTTGCACATTTTCTTCACAAGTGGGTGGAGGCGGTGTGATTTCTTGATAGATTGAGTGCTGCTCGAGTAATTGATGTTCCCTCTTGCTGGTTTATAATGGTATAATTGTTTCCCATATTAACAAGCTCTCACACTGTTACACAATAATTGGTGGTAATGACAGCAGCTATATTAATGGGACATTGCCTGGCAAACCAACAGCTGATCCCCCAATGCACAGGTTTTCAGCTGCATAGAATACATAGTATCCACATCTCTGAAATAGAGAATGTCCCTGATGAAAATTGAAAAGATGTTTTCTGTTTTGTCCCACTTGTATGTACTTTTTCTGTGTTGTATTGAACTGCATCAGATTACGATTGTTCTGCAGTATGCTGATCTGTTTATCATTTTGAGCTACTGTAAACTTGTTCATTTATGTGATTTGGTATCTCCATCTTATCTCTCCCTCCTGTTTAGTGCTAGTTAGCTTGGTCCTAGTTAATTCCTCCCTGTACTCATCAATGTTTCCTCAGTCAGTGTTAGTAGGTCATGGAGACAGGGCTTAGGAAAGTCATGGTCTTCTTACTCCTCAAATGACTGGAAAAACCTCCTCTGTACTGCATTTAGCTCAAGTAAAATTGTGTTGAATTCAACATCAGTGTCTTACTGAAGAATTTAGTCAGAAAATGAAGTCCTGCAGCTAGATCACTTCCGGCTGGCCCCTTTTGCAGGTACAGTATAGCTATGTAAAACATTAAAAATAAGTGTCTATACCAGCGGTTCTCAACCTGGGGGTCGAACAACCATTTCACAGGGGTCGCCTAGGAGCATCGGAAAACACATATTTCCGATGGTCTTAGGAACCGAGACACCGCTCCTCTATCCATTTCCAGGCAATGTGTGGATGACATGCCGCCCCTGTCATCTGGCCACACCCCTGGGATCACTCAACAGCTTCGCCTCCTCGCTGGTGATTGCCTGCCGGAACTGTAGCTCAGGAGAGGCACAAAGGCGGCCAATCATCGGCGAGGAGGTGGAGCTTGGAGAGGAGGAGCCGAGCGGCAGCGCAAAGATCAAAGAAGATCGAGTGAGGGAGTTGCCGGAGCGAGTGAAGAGGAGAGCGGCCGGAGAAGGAAGACAGCTGACCGGTAAGTGTCTGTGCCGTGCAGATGGTGCTGCTGCAGCCAGGTATGCTGGCTGTAGATGGGAGAGGGAGGGAGCGAGCCCAGGTTGGAGCAGAGGTCAGCAAGGTAAGTATCATTGGTGTCAGTGGGAGGAATAGAGCCCCATCATTGGTGTCACTAATACCAATGATGGGGCACTATTCCTCCCACGGACACCAATGATGGGGCACTATTTCCCCCTCACTGACACCAACGATGGGGCACTATTTCCCCCCACTGACACCAATGATGGGACACTATTCCTCCCCCCACTGACACCAACTATGGGGCACTATTCCTCCCCCCACTGACACCGATGGGGCACTATTCCTCCCCCCACTGACACCAATGATGGGGCACTATATCCCCCCCCCCCCACACACTGATATCAATGATGGGGCACTATTCCTCCCACACTGACACCAATGATGGGGCACTATTCTTCCCACTGATACCAATGATGGGGCACTATTCCTCCCACTGACATCAACGATGTGGCACTATTCCTCCCACTGATACCAATGATGTGGCACTACTCCTCCCACTGCAAAATTACAGTTATGAAGTAGCAACAAAAATAATTTTATGGTCGGGGGTCACCGCAACATGAGGAACTGTATTAAAGGGTCGCGGCATTAGGAAGGTTGAGAACCACTGGTCTATACTGTTTAAAACCCACTATACACTGTCGCATCCTGTTCTGCACATGCTCAGTTGCTCACTATTTTTTGGCATCAATCGATCATTGAAACTGAAAACATTCTTTACCTAAAAAAGCATATACTTAGAAGAAAAAAATGTATGTAAACATTTACTAGGAAAATATGTATATGATGCAGGGAAAATAAAATATGATGCCAAATGTCATGTATCAGCTCCAGGGTATCATCTTCACACCCTGCTCTGCTCTAAATAGCCAGAACTCTTTCTAAGAATTACAAGAAAGCAGACTGCAGGTTTTCTAAACGGATCTCTGTACCTACCAAGACCAAGGAACTGGTACACAAGCCTCATGCTCTGCGTGGTGTTGGCTGCGTGATCTTCCAGCCGGAGTATGAGAAACTGATCAAGGTTAAAGACGGACAGCCAGTCCCACAGATATATTGCATACAGACCAACATGGAGCCGCACCTGGACAAACACGATACAAGACGATACATTACAATATTTAAATGCATTAAAGTGGAATTTATTAAGCTTTCTGCCCATTCTAATAAGGGTGGTCACAGGTACCAAAGCAGTCATGCATCTCCCTTAAAGCTGAGCACCACAAAAAAGCTATTTAATTACTTTTTCAATATTCAGAGCAACACCCCCCCATCCATCCTTGTCTCCATGTTTTACTTTACTGGGAAATCACTTTAAAAAATACCCCCCTAGCATTTCTGGCAATGGCCAACTTGAGTAAGGGCAGATGATTCATGTAGCATTTACTTCCTGGAACCCATCTGCCCTTAGCTCAGGCATGCAGGCAAGAGGGTGTGCTTAGCTGAGAAAAACCCTCCTCCCATCCCGAAGACTCCTGGGATGTATGGCATCATTTTCTTAGGCCTGGAAACCAGGAAGTACCTGAAGAAATGTTTTTAAAAAAAGGTTTAAAATAAGTACATAGTATAATCCTATCCATTAACTAATGCCAGCAGCATAAGGGTTCAAAATAGTCACTGTTGGTTGAGAGAGTAAAGTTCCACTTTACACTCACCACACACGTTACAATCTGATTGTACAATCTCCTTTAGATCTACCAACAACTATGTAGTGCAAAGGTGTGTCTGATTGGATACAAATTGATTGGATAGATTAGGTAGATCCTCATATTATTGGTTTTGGTAGATCTAAAGGTTTTTTTTACCAAAATGATTTTTATTTGGAAAGTTTTTTTGTGATACAAAATATAAATGTACATACTTGAATAAGCCTTCTAATAAAAATATGTTAGGTGTACACAGCAGAGTATCACAATGAAACACATGAAGCAGACATAGTAAGAAGGTCTCTCTCTGTTCCAACAACAAGATGTACATATAAGGCTTTTATCAAAGTACAATACTGCTCTGTATATAACAGTCAAACAACCAAAATAGAACCAATGACCAACAAGTGTCTGTATACACCCAAAAGCCTGTAGATAAATACCCATGTGCACCTAAACCTTTAGCTCTCACCGCCAGGGGTGGACTGACCATTTCGAAACTCGGGCACTGCCCAAAGGGCCCGGGTCAGTAGGGGGCCCCATGAGATGCCTATGTACCTTTTTCATAGGCTTTTTTGAGTTTGGGCAAGGACACAGGGGCCCCATGATCCCCTATTGCCAGGGGGCCCCATGAGTTGTCAGTCCGCCCCTGCTCACCGCTATTTAGTAGGTTGTGTAACTCAGGCCAAGGAAATGTGAAACCTGTCTACTTCCATGATACCACCTCAGCTATTGGAGATCAACATTGTAGCAACCGTAATGAAACCAGGGAGAGAGGGGCAAGTCCCAGTATCGTAAGAAACGGTTCCCATAATTTGGAACATTTTTTTTGGAGTGCCCCTGTATTGATATATCTGTTTTTTAATTAGTTAGTTATTGCATGTCTTTGTCCTTTCAATAAAGCTTCGGGCCTGTGAACTTTGTCTCCCCTCCCTCTGCCCTCCTTTCTACCCCCCCAACACACCCGGTACTTGTTTGAACTGTTTTTTTCAATAATGTTTTGCATGGGACAGGGGTTTAACCCAGGCACTGCACATCACGCTGCCAGGTTACTCTGGTGGAACCTTAGGGGGCCACAAACAGACTTGAGGTAAGCAGTGTCATGCATGACATGATGGTTTGGGGAACTTTTTGTCCCGCACACCACGTTAGGCATTATACCGCTGAGTGAATGTATTTATTGTATGATTGGAACTGTATTGTTATGTGGTGTATTTATGCGCTGCAGTACAAGGTGGAATGTACCCCGACTAAAGTATCTTGTTTTTTTTATACTTCTGTTTTTTAATTAGTAGGGTATTATTCACTTCAATTCACCAGTTCTCAAATGTAGGAGGACTGTGGGATAGCCACTTCATAGCTATCATTTTGTGGGCAATATACAATAATCGTATGGTAGGAGTAGGTATGCAGACCCCCTATGAGTACGTGTCATTGCACGAAACGCGTCAGAGGCTACAGCCACGCCGCCGGCACTTCAGTGGTCCAATGGTTCAGATTGATCAAGGTGTACTAGGTGTTGCATTACTTTAGTCGATCTAAGTGCTAAAACTTTTGCTAGGATCTTAATGTCAGAGTTAAGTAAAGAGTTTTAAAGTAAGATTCTGGATATAGCACATCTTTACCAGGTTTAGGGAGAACTACAATACTAGCATCATTTATTGATGTAGGGAGTGTAAAGGACTCAAAGGCTTGGTTAAAAACTGAAGCAACACTTCTCCATCAGTGATGTATTTAAATTTTGGGCTGCCCTAGGCAACACAAAAATTTTGCGCCCCCCCCAATCAGAGAGCAAGAGAGTTCAATAAGTGTGTGTATGTATATATGATTCTCTCTCTCTCTCTCTCTCCTCCCTCTCTACACACACACACACTATGATCACACCCCCCAAGGTCTGCTAATCTCTGGGCTGCAGGAAATGTGGGCAGGGGGTGATAATCATACTGTGTGTGTGCAGTAACATATGATCTGTCAGTGATCGTGTATCATGTGCCAGATGGACGACAGGAGGGAGAGCCCAGAGAACACAAAACAGCTCACCTCCTCCGGGATCTTTCCTCTCCGCCACTGCTCTCCCTGCTCCAGGTGCTTCCCTGGTCCTGGCTCTGAGTGCGGGTGGGGAAAGGAGCTAAGAGGAGAGCGGCCACTCAGGAACACCAGGTCACCTCCTCCATCCGGCCAGGTCTGTCTCTCCCTCCAGCAGCAGAAAAACAGCAGAAAGGAGAGGGGGAGAAACCTCAAACCGGCTTTCAGCTGCTGGAGGGAGAGATACACAGTGCATCTTTCTGCAACTGCCCTCCCCCACCACACCGATCCTCATGCTGTCCGGGCAACCTACAGGAGTACCAGTGGTACCCCTCTGATGGCGGCCCTGCATGGCTCTGTCTGCCACTGCTCACCAGGACCCTTCTTCTGGGGGGCGGTACTGCCCCCCTAAAAATTGCCAAACACCTTGTTTGCCTCGTGGTAGATATGCCCCTGTTCCCCATATGTTTTACATATCTCAGATGTAAGCCCATCTGTGCCAGGAGCCTTGCCAGCAGGAGCCTCTGCTACCGCATGAGCCAGATAATCTAAAGTAAGGGGGGCATTTAAATATTTCCTATTGGCTGGAGACAGCTTAGGAAGGTGTGTAGAGACTACAGAATATCAGTAAATTGAGTGGTTATCTAGATCTAAAGTTGATTTACAGAGATTGTATGGTCAGATTGTAACATGTACGGTGAGCCTAACAGGACATAAAAAAAAGCAATAAAAAATAACAGTCATAGGTTATAATAATTCACCATTACATTTAGAGCAAACAAAGTTGTCTGGAATTCCATTTTAGTGTGAAGAGGTTGAAATGTATGCCATGATTTTTTTCTCTCTGCCATTAAATTTTAAACGTTAAGTGCACTTATCCTCGCAGGGCTCCTCTGACTGTGCTAAGCATATTTGTAATAGCCTATGCTCCCCTCCAGAGATCCAAAGTCTTCTGAACCAGCAAGTGAGCACTGTGCATGAAAGGCCCAAACTTTCTCCACAGCAGTGAAACGTTGAGGATCTGTGGTCGGTAGAGATTCTGCTGCATGTACAAGGATACATACACTATCAGTGCCCTTACCCTTATAAAAAGAAATTTAAGGTTTATGTCAGATAGACACGTGTGATTTGTTTTGTTACAAATTGAAATTCAGACAAAACTTTCATTCTTTGGAGATATGGATGTAGTCGAATCTCCAAATCACAATAGTAACAAATTTCAATGAATCCAATATAAATAACAAAACAAATTCATTTGTATTCATTTGTTTCATTCGGATGGCATGATGCAATTGTTTGGGCCTTTTGTTAATGTTTGAAGCATCCAACATAATGTAACATAACGAATGATCCAAACTGATTCGGATCCATTTAATTCTTATTTTGAATTAACATTTTTCAAGATGATAAAAAAAATGCACTACATATGAGATTAAAACATATTGCAACAAATACAGGTATAAAAGTGAAATAAGATTATGATTCCTACAAATTGTGTTTGGGCTGGATGGAGGTGGATCCAACAGAACCTCAGAATCATAACTTAACAAATGAATTCAAAAATAAATTTGTTCCATTCGTTCTTTCGGATGCACATGACTCCAGTTGATATTGTGCAATCAGCTCATTACATCTCTCTTTGTGGGTTGGAGTAGCAGGATGACTTCCAAAAATACAAATATACGAAACAAATCTGAATATATGAAATTAATTCCAAAAACTAATCATTTTAACATAACGAATATTACAAAACAAAATGATTGATGACTTAAATGAATAAGAAACAAAACTAATTTTTTCGGTGTGCACATCTCTAATGTCAGATGCCCATTATTTTATCAAATGTGGAACACGTATTGGATCCTCTGATGTTTGGAACCCTGAAGCTCCCTTTTCTGAAGCACACAGAATACCAGTGAAAACCAACACAGGATTAGATCTACATATCACTGTTTCTCTGTCTTTCTGGTCATTTAAGGTAACAATATCTTATTTGGAGTAATGTGACATCTCCCATGTCCCAAGGACCTTGCTATAGAACACCAAGTACTCCGGCCCAGGAGCTAGAAACAATGCCAGCTTATAAGAACATCTTGCAGATAGGATATGAACCTACATACATGACAGCAGAGAAAACTAAGGAGTCCTGAAGGCTACTGTGGGAGTAGACAAACAGCGGCAAGGGGAATGCACAGGGAGGGGGAACATGTCAGGCTTTGCATTCCTCTTGCCAATGCTTGTCTGTGGAAAGTGCTCATAGCCGTGATAAGCTGCACTCATGAATCAACTGTCTCCTTCAAAGCTGTTGTCGGATCAGCTGCAGCAGGAGGGGAGGAGGGCAGTTTGGACCTCATAACTATGGTTGGAAAGCACGTAGCAACATGGGACAAAGTACTGCATGTACATTGTCCCA